AAGAAAGAAAAATAACATAAAACCGTGAAATAAAATGATACACAAAAATAATCCAAGAAACTCACTGTTTTTGTATATATATTTGAAAGGTTCTCTCCTTTTACAATGAGTTTTATGGTTATATATATTAACCCATTTACATGCTTAAAATAAAAAAAGATGATTGTTGTTTGTTTTACTTGGTGGTGAGCTGTAACTAGGAAGATGCTGGATAAGGGACCAGTTGTTGTTATTGGAAGCTGCTGGAATAGGGAGTGTTGACGGTGTTAATTAGAGCAGGAACCAGCTGTTGTTGAAGTTGCTGGCAGCTGCTGGAGCTGAAACATGGAGGGGATTCTGCTGATATAAAAATGGTGAATACAAAAGAATCGGATGAGTCGGCATTGTACTTGAAAGCAAGCAATACAGCTCTAATTTTTGGCACCAGCCACCATGGTGAACATGACTGATGGAGAAACTATAGATAAATATATACATTCCACTAGATCACCTTCAACCGTGATATAAAAGTTAAATGAAGTTAAAGTTTCAGCTCCATTTGTTGCTTCATTTTCATCTAGGGGTCCAAATGCAGCCTCACAACATGTTTCAAAGTATAAAAATCTTTGAATTCTGCCTTTAATTGTTTCTTAAACTTAGTCTTTTCCACACCATGATATATACATATATGTACTATACATATACAGCCTGATATTGCAGCCCCTGGTGTGGACATCTTGGCAGCCTACACACTTATAAACTCACTCACCGGGTTAAAAGGGGACAACCAACATTCAAAGTTCATCTCATGTCCGGTACTTCCATGGCGCCCCGCATGTTGCCGGTATAGCGCGTATGTGAAATCGTTTCACCCTACATGGACGGCTGTAATCAAATCCGCAATTACGACCACAGGTAAAGGATATATCATAGACCACTTAATGATTTCAATGTGTATCATATCATATTATATCTTACACGTCTTTGTAATAAACTACAAAAGTAAAATGGATGGGACGGAGGGTGAACAAGGATGCCAAATTCGCCTATGGTGCTGGGCAATTGAATCCCACCGGAACCATAAACCCCGGCCTTATCCACGACATGGACGAGATGACTTACATACAGTTCCTATTCCATGAAGGCTACACTGGACCATCTATAGCTCATTTAGTAGGCAAAAAGTCTGTAAACTGTTCGTCATTGCTTCCAGAAATCTGATACAATGCCCTTAACTACCCATCGATGCAACTTAATGTGATCAACGACAAACAGAAAACGGTAGGTGTTTTCATGAGAAGGGTAACCAATGTAGGTCATCATCCGTGTATAATGCCACCATTAAAGCCCCCGAAGGATTGCAAATCACGGTTAACCCGAAAAGCCTCGTCTTCACTCGTAGCTTGCAGAAGCATTGTTTTAAGGCGGTGAAGATGGCAAAACCGACGGCGAGCACGGCATTTGTTGGAAATAAACAAGTAACGAGTAATTTCCCTATAACCAGATTAGTGAGAATGCAAAACAAAAGCGGAAAAATAATACCTGAAATTGATAACGAGTTCAACTAATTTTTCTTACATCTCCGGACTGCTGCAGATCTTTTACTAGAGAGAAAATTTACATATGTTTACAAAACACTCACTACTCACAAGAAAACTCTCTAGTATTGGGAGAAAGAAATGATTTGGGATGATTTTGAAGCTAAATGAGCTAGGGTATTTATAGTTGAAGCTTAAGGACTAATCTTGTAAATACCCTAAAATACAAATGACTAAAAATGCACTTTCCCTATTTTTTAAGCAATGGCTGCCACTTTATTAATTTAGCAGCCCATGTGTTTCATGTGTTGCCATCCAACTTTGCCTTCCAATAATCCCACTTGAAGACTGATTTTAATATGTCTTCACACCTCGTCAATGCAACAACTTTTCTTTCTTGTTATTCTAGCATGCCAACTGAAGCTGAACACAACTTCAGTTTGTCCGTGGTCACCGTCTTTGTCAATATGTCTGTCGGATTTTGAGCTCCACTAATCTTTTCAAGTTTCAAAATCCCATCTTCCAGAAGAGACCGGATAAAATGATATCGCAATTGTATGTGCTTCGTTCTGGAATGAAAAGACAGATTCTTCGCTAGATGGATAGCACTTTGACTGTCGTAATACAAGACATTGTTTTCTTGTTTCTTGCCTAACTCTTCCAAGAAACTTTGGAGCCAAACCATCTCCTTGCTGGCTTCTGTAACAGCGACATATTCTGTTTCAGTTGTGGAGAGAGCAACTATCTTCTGTAGTTGAGAAACCCAACGCACTGAGGTTCCTCCTAGAGTATAGACATACCATGTAGTGCTCCTTCTAATATCAACATTTCCGGCTAAGTCAGCATCTACATAGCCTGTCAGTATCGTATCTCCACCTTTGAAACAAAGTGATTTGTTTGTAGTACCCCGTAGATATCTGAGGATCCATTTGGCTGCTTCCCAGTGTACCTTGCCTGGATTATTCATGTACCTGCTAACAGCTCCCACTGCATGAGCAATATATGGTCTGGTACAAACCATGGCATATATCAGACTTACAATTACTGAGGCATACGACACCTTCACCATGTGTGAACGTTCTTCCTCCGTCTTTGGTGTCTGTTCTTTGGAGAGTCTAAAATGAACACCTAAAGGTGTACTTACTGATTTAGCATCTTGCATGTTGATCCTGGAGAGTACTTTGTTGATGTACTTAGCCTGTGATAACATCAAAGTCCCCAAATTTGTGTCTCTCTTAATCCTCATCCCAAGAATTTTTTTGCAGCGCCCAGATCCTTCATAGCAAACTGCTTCGACAATTTTTGCTTCAAGTTTATAATCTCTTGCATGTCTGAGCCTGCAACAAGCATGTCATCAATATACAACAATAAAATAATGAAGTTGTTGTCGAACCTCTTGATGTAGCAACAATGATCTGCTTGGCATCTGGTAAAACCACTGCTACTCATGAAACTATCAAACTTCTTGTACCGTTTAGGAGCTTGTTTTAAACCATACAAGCTTTCTTCAACCTGCATACCAGGTTTTTCTTATATGCTTCTATGAAGCCTTTTGGCTTCCTCATATAGATTTCTTCCTCTAAATCACTATGAAGGAAAGTGTCTTCACATCTAACTGCTCAAGATGTAAATTCTCTGCAGCTACAATTTTCAACACCAGTCTGATTGTAGACAGTTTACGACTGAGAGAAAATTTCATTGTAGTCAATACCTTCTTTTTGTTGAAAACCTTTGACAGTCAATCTTGCTTTGTAGCGTTTGCTCCCATCGTGCTCTTCTTTGATCCTGTAAATCCACTTGTTGTGGAGCGCTTTCTTGTCTGGTGGTAATTCAACTAATTCCCACGTCTGATTTGACATAAGTGAGTCCATCTCATATTTCATGGAATACTCCCACTTGACTGAATCCTCCACCTTCATTGCTTCATCATAGCACTTGGTTCACCATTGTCAGTTAGCAACAAGTAGTGCAAAGAAGGCGAATGACGCTGGGTTGGTTTAGGAATTCTGGATGAGCGTCTCAGTTCTGATGTGTCTAGTTCTTCTTGAACTACTTCAGGATTGATCTGAACATCATTTCTAGAAATCTCCTCGAACTCAGCAAATTCCTTTATTTCAGCTTTGGTATTGGAGCTACTTGATTCTATGGTTGCTCTGTCTTTGTACATCACATTTTCATTGAAAATGACATCTCTGCTTCTGATGATCTTCCAATTTTCATAGTCCCAAAAATGGTAATCGAACTCATCACCACCATAACCAACAAATACACATTTGTTGGACTTGGCATCAAGTTTACTTATTTTAGCGGAATCTATGTGTACATAAGAAATACAACCAAACACTCTTAAGTGTGAAAGGTTTATTTCTTTTTTGCTCCAAACTTCCTCTGGTATTATGCCATCCAAAGGAACTGAGAGCCTACGGTTGATCAGTTAAGCTACAGTGTTGATAGCTTCAGCCCATAGAAATTTGGGTAATCCGGCATGTATCCTCATGCTTCTGGCATGTTCATTCAGAGTTTTGTTCATGTGCTCTGCTACGCCATTCTGCTGCGGTGTCATAAGAACTGTTGTCTCCATCTTGATCCCATTGTTTGCGCATAAATCTCTGAATCTACGATTTCTGTACTCTTCTCCATTGTTAGACCTCAACCGCTTGACTTTCAAACCAGTCTCGTTTTCCACCATGGCCTTCCATTTTCTAAAGGTATCAAAGACTTCTGATTTCTTCTTCAGAAAATAAACCCACACCTTCCTTGTTGAATCATCGATGAAGGTGACATAATATAATGAGCCTGCAAGGGATGAACCTTGAGATGGTCTTCATACATCAGTATGAACCAACTCTAACTTTTCTGCCGGGTGTCTTATCAATCTTTGCAAAACTGACTTTCTTTTGTTTGCCAAAGATGCAATCCTCACATAGTCCGACATCTACATTCTTTAGATCCGACAGCTTCCTTTTGACAAAAGTGTATGCATCCCTTTCTCGCTCATATGGCCAAGCCTTTGGTGCCATAGGTTTGATTTTCCATCAGCATCTGTTGCAGCAATGATATTCTCTAAATTTGAGGTTACGTAGAGAGTACCAGTCTTTTTACAATGAGCAATGACGAGTGCTCTTTTGGTGATCTTCATTCACAGCCTGAAAAAGTTGTGATGTATCCTTCTCTATCAAGTTGTCCTATAAATCAAATTTCTTTTGAGGCCAGAATATGTCTTACTTCTTTCAGCATCCAGGTGGTCTGGTTTGGCAACTTTAATCGGATGTCTCCTTTTCCGACAATCTTCAAGGTTTCATCATCAGCTAGATGAACCTTCCCAAAATTACCACTGTCATAGTTCTCCATGATTTCTCGGCATGGGTGGAGTGGAAAGATGCCCTGAATCCAAGATCCATGATTCAATCGGACTGTTGACGCTTAGAATCATGGCATCACTTGTCTTCTATCATATTGGCAGATTCTTGTGCGCCGGTATCTTTCTTCAGTACTCGACAATCTCTTTTAAAGTGATCATTCTTGCCATAATAATAAGTAAAATCTTTCTTTCATGTTCTTAATTTGCCCCTTCTAGATTTCGATCTACCACGATTTGAATTTCTTTCTGAAGTTCTCCCTATGGACTTCGTATGCAAGGCTGAAGAGGTTGATGCTTCACCTGATTCTCTCCGTCAAATTTCTTCGCTCAGTACCAGATCTGAACATCGTCGAATTTCAATTTGTTGTTTCCGACGAGCTGCTGACTACTGTAACATAGCATTCCAACTGTCTGGTAGAGATGATAAGAGAATTAAAGCTCTAACTTCATCATCGAATTCAATTTCCACGTAACTAAAATGGGTTGTGATTGTTGAGTTCATTTAGGTGTTGAGCCACTGATGCCCCTTCTGTCATCTGCAAATTGAATAATCGCCTCATCAAGTGAACTTTGTTTGAGGTTGATGGCTTCTCATACATACTGGAGAGAGCCGCCATAAGACTCGTCGTGGTCTTTTCCTTTGCTATGTTGAAAGCAACATTGCAGGACAACGTCAGTCGGATAACTCCGAGGGCTTGTCTGTCGAGAAGAGCCCAGTCTTCATTTTTCATGCCCTCAGGTTGCTTTCCTGAGAGAGGTTGATATAGATTTTTCTGGTATAGAAAATCTTCAATCTGCATATTCCAAAAGCCAAAGTCCGCACCATCGAACTTTTCAATTTTCACATTCCCTTCGTCTGGAGCCATCGCTCCCACTCGAATCTGGCTTCGTTTAGATCGTTTCTGATAATTCTTGCGAACCATCGTGTATTAGAACACCTCCGTCGATAAATTCGTATCGCCGACAAAAGTTTACTATTCACGAAATTTACTATTCACATGAATAGTAACCTCGTAAAAAATTGACAAAATTCATAACCAAAAGTTCTGATACCAGTTGTTGGGAAATAAACAAGTAACGAGTAATTTCCCTATAACCAGATTAGTGAGAATGTGAAACAAAAGCGGAAAAATAATACCCGAAATTGATAACGGAGTTCAGCCAATTTTGCTTACGTCTCCGGACTGCTGCAGATCTTTTACTATAGAGAAAATTTACAGGTGTTTACAAAACACTCACTACTCACAAGAAAATTCTCTAGTATTGGGAGAAAGAAATGATTTGGGATGATTTTGAAGCTAAATGAGCTAGGGTATTTATAGTTGAAGCATAAGGACTAATCTTGTAAATATCCTAAAATACAAAGGACTAAAAATGCACTTTTCCTATTTTTTTAAGCAATCGGTTGCCACTTTATTAATTTAACAGCCCATGTGTTGCATGTATTGCCATCCAACTTTGATTTCCAACAGCATTGACGGTGCTATCAGCTTCCCTTGTATGGAAAAGCACTCACCATACTGTGAGAAGTCCTATTGTTATTTACAGTCTCCAAGATTAATAGAAGTAATAATCTATATTGTATATAAAATAGTACAGTTGATTGAAAATTTATTAAAATATTTTATTTTAAAGTTTAATTAGTATAATTATACATTTGATTTTTTTAATTAATATGGGGAATGTAGTATATATTCAAATATAACTCTCAACCTCTTAAAATGAAACGTTCCCACTCCTAGTATTATCAGTGTTCGAACCCCGAATAACAACAATTCATTTACTTTGGACATCATTTAGTTCATATACATATGTTTGATTTGAATACATATTTGTTATATTTTTATAAAATCTATATTATATAATATGAAATATTACGTTGGATTTAATACAATGATAATGAAAAAAAAGTTAAAAAGTATATTACATGTAATAATGATTTTAAAATAATAGTTGAAATTAGATAATGTAACAGGTAATTTTTAAAATGTATTATAAAAGAGGATAAACTACACAAGTGGCCACTAAACTATAGTAAAAAATTACTTGACCACCAATATTTCATTTTGAACAAACAATCACTCAACTATTTAAATAATTTAATGTTATTATTAAAATTTAAGGGAGATAGTGATGTGCCAATTAATTTTTTGATATAATTATACATTTGATCCCTATTACTTATATAAAATGAAATTCAATCTAAACTTTAATTAAATTTAATAAATTTAATCATATAATTAAATTATGACATTTGTCAGTCTCTAAATGAATGATTATATCTATTTATATTTTTTTATTTAATTCATTAAATTTAATTTCCTCCATGAGAGAGTGACCTAATCTAATACACGGCCGACCAACCACCGAAGAAAATATAGGCGCGAGGAGGGCTCGAACTAGGGGCACCTGATCTAAGACACGACCGAACAACCACTGTGCCAAGGGTGTGAACAGCCACTGAGGCAAACTGTAAGTTTTACGTCATAAGATATATATTTTCTGCACTTAATGTATTTAATTTCACATTATTAACTTAAGATAATAACAAAATACATCTTTTAAGTTAATAAAATAATATATATATATATATATATGAAGTTAAGATAATAACAAAATTTATAATTTTAAGTTAATAAAAAATAAAATAAAATAGTTTGTTCCGAGTTGTCTCCGTGGTAAAGGAATTATTATTATTCCTTGATACTCGGGTTCAAACAACATAGATGTCATGGGTGTGAGTGCTCGTTGTTAAGAGTTTATCTATGAACATATATTTTCTTTTACTTACCTCAGATTATTTGAATATAAAATAAAAAAAAATATATATATATATATATTTTAAAATTAATAGAAGAATGAAATATATTTTTAAAGTTAATATAAGAATAAAATATATTTTAAGTTAAAATAAAATTAAAACGTATTAAATAAGTTGAATAAAAATAAATATATATTTTTAAAGTTAGGACATAAATTTAAGTTAATCTATAAAGAAATATAAATTTGAATTAAGTTTTAAACATATACAAGATATGTTTGAATATTAAACCTCCTTTCGTTTGAAAATGGATGGTGACACCTTTGATTGAAAAATAAATAAATTTAATGAATTAAACAAATTATAAATAAATTTAATCATCCAATTATAGACTGACACATCATAATTTTATTCCATGATTGAATTTATTAAATTTAATTAAAGTTAGGATTAAATTTCATTTTGTGTAAGTGATATAGACCAAATGTGTAATTATATCGAAATGTTTAACTGATACATCATATCTTTGTTAAATTTTAGTGGTAAGTGACTTGATTAAATCATTTAAATAGTTAGGTAATTTGTTTGATCAAATTAAAATCAATGATCAAAATGATTTTTGGACATAGTTTAGTAGTCATATGTGTAGTTTACCCAAAAAAAACAATACTCCTATTTTACGTAAAATGAGTTATATGAGAAAAAAAAAGATGGTAATTGCTTGCCACGAGTTTTCGAATAACAGTTGAACAAACTGCCGGCCAACGGTATTTTCGCGGCAGATTTAAATGCGAATTTGGCGATGTTTAATTTGTTGATCAGCAAGCGCTTCGCCAATGCGAAAGAGGTAATTTCTTACCTAAATCACTTATTTCAAATTCCCCCTTTTCTCGGTTGCTCTCTTTCCTGGATCATTCATCTTCTTCAGTGATCAAAAAATATCCCAATCTATAAGCCTCTTTCCCTGCCTCTTTTCACTCGGAACCTTAGCCGAATCATTTCTTTCTTTTTTTCTTTTCTGAGATTTTTCTTTTCGTTTATGTTTTTTGTTCAAATGAATTCTAGGGTGTTTGCTCTTTTCAGTTTTATTTGATGTACGACACAATTGAATTCTCCATTGAAAGATTGAAACGGAGAAACACGGCTGAGTCTGTGTTTTTTGTTCTTCAGATTTTGCAATGTGTATGAAGAACAAATTTTCGTTATTTTTTCTGTTATTCACTTGATTTGATTCCATTGTAAAAGAAGAGTAATTTGGCAAGAAATGGATAATAACCCACACCAAAATCCATACCCTTATCACCATGTATACCCTCCACAAAATCAAGACCCATATGCGCATCAGCATCCGTATCCTTCGTATCCATATCCTTACAATTCCCAATACCCTTATGCACCTCATATGTATCTGCCCCCAGGTTACGCTCCTGGTTCAGCTCCCATAGACTATAGTCATTCTCATCCTCATCCCGAACCATTTCCTTATCAATATGCGCACCCGGTTCCTCTAAATCCTTCCCAACCTGCTCCCCAACATCCTGCAACTTTCCACTATGGTCCATCGCCTTACCCTTACCAGCATTCCTTATCTGGTCATTACCCGCCACCTGAAACTTGCCCGCAATCTTCTGCCTCTTATCAACAACCTGCGCAATATCCTCCTCCTATAAGTAATTCCGAGCTCCACTCAAGACGGAACAGCTTTTCTGGACATAACAGGCAGGGTAGTATAAGTTCCTTGGGAACAAATATGTGTAGTGCCCCACCTGTTGCTATGGCTTATCCACCTTTGGATCATCAATCAAGTAATATGCATTTGTCTGGTAATCATCCTTCTGCTCCTGCATCACCCTCGGCACCTTCAGAGCTTCCAGCGGCTGCTGCTACTTCAACACCTGAGCTGGATGGTTCACGTTATGCAAGTAAATCTAGAACCTGGGGAGGGCCTAGTTTAGGCCGAGCTGATTCGGCTAATCAACCTGCCTTTCAATGCAACAATTCACAGAATGGCGACAGTATGCAGATTGTACCTTTCCATACAGGTTCATTGAGAGTTTTGCTTCTACATGGAAATTTAGATATGTGGGTTTTTGAGGCAAAAAATCTTCCCAACATGGATATGTTCCATAAGACTTTAGGCGATATGTTTGGGAACTTTTCTTCAAATATTTCCAAAAGTTTTGCAGGAAAAAGGGACGGGAAGAATACAAGTGATCCTTATGTCACAATCGCCATTTCTGGTGCCGTTATAGGAAGGACATATGTGATCAACAATGATGAAAACCCTGTCTGGATGCAAAATTTCAATGTTCCTGTTGCACATCATGCTGCTGAAGTGCAATTTGTTGTTAAAGACAGTGATGTAGTGGGGTCAGAAATTATAGGAGTTGTATCGATTCCAATTGAGCAGATATACTCGATGCAAAAGATAGAGGGAAGCTATCAAATTCTGAATGATAACGGAAAGCCCTGTAAGCCTGGAGCCGTCTTAAGATTATCAATTCAGTACACACCAATGGAGAATTTGAGCATCTATCATCATGGTGTTGGAGCAGGTCCTAATTATGTGGGAGTTCCTGGCACATATTTTCCTCTTCGGAAGGGGGTAAAAGTGACTCTTTATCAAGATGCCCATGTGCCAGATGGGATTCTTCCAACCATAAAACTTGACCATGGGATGACCTATGTGCACGGAAAGTGCTGGCATGACATATTTGATGCTATCCGTCAAGCAAGGCGCTTGATTTACATTACGGGGTGGTCAGTTTGGCATAAAGTTAGGCTGGTACGCGATGATGGTCCTGTTTCAGATTGCTCTTTGGGGGATATTCTTAGGTCGAAGTCACAGGAAGGAGTTAGAGTGCTCCTTCAGCTATGGGATGATCCTACTTCGAGAAGCATCTTGGGATACAAAATGGTAACTTATTATTGCATTTTTCTTGTACGTTATAGCTTCAGGGTTTAAAGCTAATGACAATAGAAGTATATGGTGATCATTGTGCAGATCTGGTTAATAGAGAAAATGAAATGTGCATATGAATGATGACAATGAGAGTATGCGAACTTTTACTTTGAGTGTGCAAACTTGTTAATGAAGATAGGAATTAATCACACTTTTTAATCTTTAGAAAGCTTTGCTTATCATAGATTTTAATTAACCTCTCTAAATTGACAAATACAGGATGGAATAATGGCAACCCATGATGAGGAAACACGTAGTTTCTTCAAAAACTCTTCAGTGCATGTGTTACTTTGTCCTCGTGTGGCTGGAAAAAAACATAGTTGGGTCAAGCAAAAGGTTAATGATTCTATCCCATAAATGCATTTCTAACTCTTCAAATTTCTCCACATCAATTTGGATTCAATTTGGCGTCATTAGAAATTACTGCTAGATTGTTGTTTGTTGGGAAATCATTATCAGCATTACTAAGATCTTCAAGTCACATTTTGCACTATTCTTGTAACATGTGGTGGTTGCATTTGGCAATTTACTACCGACCACATGCTGACAGGATGTTTGGCAATAAGAGAAAAATCGTATTTTGCTTAGATGTTTCATACTTATCAAAAAACGATAGCTTTTGGACTGCATGTAGTATTTTCAACCTCTGGCATATTTTTATAAGTTGCACATTCAAACTTTGAAAGAGTAAGGATGAATGAGGGAAACATCATAGGTCTTTCATATCCTCTTTTCTGGATATATATCAAAATAATCCATAGACCAATTGCTGTTTACTTTTTTGTATCTATACCATGATGGTGATTAACCTTCCGAAAATAATCAGAGCCCTTCTGCTTCATGCTACTGTTATTTCATTTGAATAGGACTTAGTGAATTTTGTTGTCTAAGTTTGAAGGTAAATGCCCTTCTCTGTCGTACTTTTTCTGAATTTTTTTGTCCCTTTTTTAATGGATTCTCAGTTTCTCTTAGGCCTGTCAAATATAAAATACTTTATTAGTTTTGTGTCTTCTGAACGTCTTGTTATCAATTTTTTTTATTGGTAGCTGGTACATATTAGGAAGTCCAAGGGATTGGAACCTTAGACCTTAACTTTCCTAGGAAGGGTTAACAAACACTAAGTCATCCCTAAATTATCACCAGCCATTTTTGTTATATGTAAACTGTTCTTTGGCTAAAGCACTGTGTTTATCTGATGCGATCAATTATCAGGAAGTTGGAACAATTTATACACACCATCAGAAAACTGTTATTGTGGATGTTGATGCTGGGAGAAACTATAGAAAAATTATTGCTTTTGTTGGTGGCCTTGACTTATGTGATGGAAGATATGATGATCCACATCATCCTCTATTTAGGTCACTGCAAACATTACATAAGGGTGATTATCATAATCCAACTTATACGGTAACTACTTTCCATTCTTTTTCTTTCTTTTATGACATTAAGGTAGCTGCAAGTTTAATGGTAATTCATCACAGTAAATAAGATTTCCTGCACATTATTTAATTGCAAATTACTTGAGCAGAATTCTACAGAAGGTTGTCCAAGAGAAGCTTGGCATGATATGCACAGTAAAATTGATGGCCCAGCTGCATATGATGTTCTGGTCAACTTTGAGGAACGGTGGTTGAAGTCAGCCAAGCCTCATGGACTTAAAAAGTTGAAGAAACCCTTTGATGATGCTTTGCTGAGGATAGAAAGAATTCCAGACATTTTGGGAGTTACTGATTTTACAGATTCTGAGAGTGATCCTGAAGGTTGGCATGTTCAGGTAATTTTGCTATTTAATCTTGGCTTTAGTCACAAATGGTTAGGTGGGTGAAGTTCAGGTTAGTCATAAGTCTAATTTTGCTTGCTCAATGTGATTTTCAGAAGCTGCTTTCGTTTCTTTTGAGTTTTTTGATAAATGGATTGTTTTTATTTATTGTTTTGGGGTTTCATATACAGATTTTTCGTTCAATTGATTCAAATTCTGTTAAAGGCTTCCCAAAGGATCCAAAAAATGCAACAAGCAAGGTAAAGAGAAGGTTGCCATTGATTTGCTTCTTCTTTTCCTAGGGTAGAAGCTGAATGATGATTTGTTCTGTGACAGAATTTGGTGTGCGGTAAGAATGTCCTTATTGATATGAGCATACACACAGCATATGTGAAGGCCATTCGCTCTGCCCAGCATTTCATTTATATAGAGAATCAGTATTTCCTTGGATCTTCCTTCAATTGGAGCTCTTATAAAGATTTGGGTAAGGCACTTAGATTTTGATGACCATGATGTTTATGACTAACTTAACAAGGTTGATAATGGATCTTGCGTCGTGATTGCAACTTTAGTCTGCTTGAATGCATAAGTTATGCAGTTCAAGAAAGTTAATAAATGGACTTGGTTTGGGCTTGGCAAATTTTGGTTGAAACATTTTTCTTTGAACGTAGAAAGTGGTAAAAATCTTGGGCCTGGATGTATGTAGAAGAAATATAGTAAAATGATCAAGAACCTAACTTTCTTGTTAAATATATCAGTCAGATTATCATTGTAGCTAACTTTCTGGTTAAATATATCAATCAGATAATCAAAAATCATGTATGAAGTCCATGTGCTAAGACTTATGTCATTGTAGCACAGAAAAAGGCAGAGGATGACATACAGAATAAGTTTTCCTTTGAAAAACTAGAAATTAACAAGATCATTTGGTTAGCCCAGCTTCATCTAATATTTCTTGTATCGGATGTCTTATGGAAATTTTCATGAGAATCATATGGCATATTTATTCATAGGTTTTGGCTTGGAACTATAAACCTTACATTCTCTCTGCAGGTGCTGACAACTTAATTCCCATGGAAATTGCTCTTAAGATTGCCAGAAAAATTAAAGCAAATCAGAGGTTTGCTGCTTATATTGTCATGCCAATGTGGCCAGAGGGTGTTCCAACAGGATCTGCCACTCAAAGGATTTTATATTGGCAGGTAAAGTTTGACTAAAAACTTGGTGTTAAAATGTTTAAAATTTTGACCACAGCATTGTTATCTTTTTCGAGAATTCATCGAGATGTCTGCTCTGCAGTAAGAACTACATAAGCTCCTTTTTTTTTCTTTCTAAGTATTTAGTTGCACTATCCAAAAACAGCAGAATTCTGCTACAATTACACATACAAGAGTATCTGTAGTTCATCTATACTCTTATCAATTACACCCCTAAACCCTTCTAATCAAGTATGCTCCGAACAGTACACATATACAGATTCACACTTTCAGTTCTGTCAACACTTTTCCCTTTTAGTATAATCTTTACTATTTCTTTAATGGAATGCAAAATCTCATTCTCAGTCCTATGCTGCCCTCTGAGTCGTCTTCTGTTACATTCTTCGCACTCCATGCAAGCTTTAGGATGGTAGTTCTTAAAGCTTTATCCTTTAGTCTCGTGCATGCCCGGAGCAGCTTCTGTTTCGAATGGAGGACATCACGATTAATCCTGACCATCCTCAATATAGTTCTGCAAATACTCTTAGAGAACTGACTTTCAAAGAAGATGCGATTCCTTGTTTCCATCTCACTGCAGCAGAGATTGGATAGTCCAACAGAAAAGATTTTGCTTGACACCGAAGTTTTAGCTCGGTTCAATTCGAGAATTAAGATTTGTTTACATTGCTTTGGCATTAAATTTTCTGAGAATCATTTTTTTTTTGCGTTAACTGAATAATTATGATCTTTAAACTAGATACTGAAATGCCCTTGATCTTGAACTTGTTACTACTGTCGCAGCTCAAAACTAGGGAAATGATGTACGAGACTATTTACAGGGCTTTGGTGGAGGTTGGAGTTGATGGCATTTACTCGCCAGAGGACTATTTGAATTTTTTCTGTCTCGCCAATCGCGAGAACGATGGATATCAACCTCCAGGCAATGAAAGTCCTAGGTCCATAAACACTCCCGAGGTACTCTATACCATGTCATGGTAGTCAAAGACCCTCAAACTTTACCCAAAAGTTCCTACACTGCTAACATATATGTTCCTGGTTTTTTGCATTCCAGTCTCTAAGCCGGAAAAGTCGAAGATTTATGATCTACGTCCATTCAAAAGGTATGATCGTCGATGATGAGTACATAATAGTAGGGTCTGCTAACATCAATCAACGCTCCATGGAGGGTACCAGAGACACCGAGATCGCAATGGGAGCTTACCAACCTCAATATACTTGGGCAGCGAAACATTCTAGTCCACTCGGACAGGTAACTTCTTGGTTAAATCCGTATTAGTGACACAAATATAAGATGCCTCATGTTTCCACAAACTATCTTCACCTTCTTCTTCCCCAGAGTATGCTTATCTCTTTGTTGTTTATCATAGATCCATGGGTATAGGATGTCACTTTGGGCAGAACATACCGGGGTCGTCGAGGACTGCTTCACTCAACCAGAGAGCATCGACTGTGTAAGACGGATTGTTCAAATGGGTAAGCTGAACTGGAATCAATTTGCATCGGAGGAAGTGACGGAGATGAGAGGGCACTTGGTGAAGTACCCCGAGGAAGTGGATGCCAAGGGCAAGATCAGGCCCCTTCCAGGATGTGAAACTTTCCCCGATGTTGGGGGAAACATTTGCGGCTCATTTCTTGCCATACAAGAAAACCTTACAATTTAACCTAACATGCTACCACTACATACAATACGATTCAAATACAATTTTGACAGTGTAGATGAAATATATACATATATTATAGTTTTAAAATCCCATTTTATTGTATAGATTTTTTTTAATTTTAATTTTTTTTAGTACCAAACTTCTATTCTTTCAATATATTTTTAATTTAAATCAATCGTACAACTGTATAAATGATTTTAATTTGAATAAATTATTTTAAGTATTAAACCGTTTTATTTATCATTAAATCGAAGTTCTCATAACATTGTATTGAATAGGAGAGATATTAATAAACTTTGAACATAAATAAATAAAACTTTTTTAGCCTTTAAAACACTTCCAACTAAATGCATAATAAAATGCGTTAATTGCATATGAGGTTCCTAAACTATAACATCCTTTTAAATTAGTCTCTAAAGTTTAAAATATTCTATATTAAACCATAAATTATGACCTCATTTCAAATTGGTTCCTAAAGTTTAGAATATTCTATATTACTCCTTAAACTATCATCATAATTATATTTTGATCCTTTTGTTAACATGTAGTTAACTCTAGTGGTTAGTGAATGTCTCGAGAATTGTTACGTGACCTTTTAAAAAATTAATTTATTTTTTAAGGTCGTGGGTTCAAGTCACTAGATCTTCAAAAAACGGTTCAATTTTTTAACCAGTAAAAATAACGACATGTTAACAAAATGGAACTATACAAGTAGTTTGAGGATGGATATAGCATGTTTTGAAATTTAGATATCAAATTGGAATACAAGTTGTAGTTTAACTAGTGATATAAAACGTTTTGAAATCTAAAGATTAATTTAAAATAGAGATTATAACTTAAGGACCGTGTGTACAGTTACCTCTTATAAAATTAGAGAAAATTTGGTTTAGCAAGTTGGTTAATACAATTTATTTTGGTGGTATTAGGCCTACTAACCGTTTACACGGCTATAATTGTGGGGACCGCATAGAAACTTAATCAAACTATGATATCAACTGTACACGTGGACTTACCGACGCCTGAAATCCAGACTGTCTTACTAGTGTGGACGGGACCCAGTTCACTGCATTTGTAGTTAGGGATGAAAAAAAATCCGAACTCGACGGGGAAAATTAAAAATTGAATTAAACGGGTCGGGTTCGGGGATGATAAACGGGGATGGGGACGGAGAAAATTCGTTTATGTTAAACGGGGATGGGGACGGGTTTGGTAATCCCCGCCCCTATTACCCGATTACTCAACCCAATTACCCGGCCCGATATTTGACTCGATAAATATTAAAAATAATTATTTTATATATATATATAATATTAATAAATTTAATTTAAATTTAAAAAATATGGTATTACTGTAGCAGTGGTGCAGGCAAGTCATGGGTGTTGCAATTAAATCTGCGAGCCAGCTCGAGAATATGGGAGTAAAACTTGGTTTTGCACATTGATGTGCAGCAACAAAGTATAGACAGAAATAAAGTGTTTACTGCAAAAGTGATAAAATAATAAAAAACAAATTATGGTCCTTATTACAGATGGTGTTTTATTAATTTATTGTAACTTTTGGGACATTATATTAAACATATATATGCTTGTCAAACTGGGATGAATGCTTTCAAAGTAATGATAGGCTCGCATGGTGGTTAAGGGAACATCACGGAATGGATAAGTTGTATAAAAATTATTTTATACAAACTATCTCAAGTTTTAAAACACAAAATATTATACTCTAAATGCTAAAATCCTGAGCTTATACCGTACATAAACTCTAAACCAATGTAATTAAAGTTTCAAAACATTGCGTTTATGTTAAACGATGATACCCGTTTCCCTGCAGTTTTCTCCGATTATCCGATGGGGATCCCTGTTTAAATCCCCGCGATTTTTTAAACGGAGATATATACCGATTTTTTAAATGGGGATAGAGACGGGAGACTAATACCCGGCCCGAACTCGACCCGTTGTCATTCCCTATTTGTAGCCCACAAAACCAAAGACGGAACCGCCCATTTTATCGTCTGTATCTGTCCCCACAGGACCCACCCCATTTTTTTCGTGATGAAAAAGAAAGGTTAAACCAATAAATTAGCCTCTCGACTAATAGAACGGACTATGAATATCTTTATTAAGATGATAGGATATTATCTTATTATTACATATTAAAATTATTGTCAATTTTTAATAGTAAGTGACCAAAATAAAAATAAAACATTAGATAATGATTTTACAACAAAAAATAATTAAGTAATTAAAATTGAACAAAAATGATAATTTACGATATTAAACTTGTAGTTTAGTACACATTATTGCATGTATTATACACATTATTAGTTGGTTCTCAAAGGTGAAGAATTAATTGGTTTGCCTATTCTCGTGCACTTGCCTGTTCTTGTGCACTCCTTTTAATATCCTTCCTTTCCATAATTTATATACATTTTTGGACGTATTATAGTAAAAAAAACATGTTAATTAACTTAGATGAATTGATATTAAACATGCGAATTTATTAATGGTCTTGCCATATATAAACATCATTTGTCATAAGGCCATATATAAACATCATTATTTGGAGAGATAAGGGTGCAGGTTCAGCCAAGGATTCTAGTGCGAAACATATGTTTGACTTTATAGTAAAATTATCTTCATATTCGCTTTTCGAAAAATGTATTTTAATTTTGAATATAATCGATAATTTTGTATATATATATATATAATTTATTTTATTTATGAAACTCAAAATCAGTTAAACTAAATCATGTATTTACATTTTACAATTTAATTTCAGAAAACATAGATAGAGGAAGGAGGAGAAGAGCATCTGATGCCACTGCCCGAATCATCTTTCCTTCCTCTTTTTTTTTTGGCTTCTTTAGTGATCGCGTTATCTTGTAGAGCCCAGGAACAAAGGAGCCCACGTGTCCAAGAGTTTTATAAACGGAGTTCCTACAATAACGGCTACGTTCAGGACACGTGTTCCCGACTACAGAGTGACCAAACTTTTGGCCCACACTACCCTCGATCGGACCACCGAACTAAGCCCGTAGGGACCACCACGCGGCTACTCCTTGGGAAAATTGCAAAAACGGTACCGTAGGGTCTACTTTTATTTTCTCTTTTCTTTTTTCTATTGGGTCCTGTGCCCCACATGACGGGACGGTTCGATAGGGTGACCCATTCGGCCCACGACTTTCCTCTTGGCAATGCACGGTCCACGGATTGTCCCCCACCCTGCTTTTTTTGGTTTCAGTGTTGACACACTCTAACATTATGTGGACCCTACCCTCTCCCGCTTAACCTGACCCCACATTACTCGTGCGCACCTTTAACAAAAAAAAAAACCTCACGTGAGCACGTGTTCCTCCTCCTCCTTTAGCTTCGCTCTCGTTCATGGCGGATGCAGAGGGAAAAACGAAGCCACCGGTCAAAAAGACTCAAACAAATTAAGCCAAAATGGAGGAAAGAGGAAAGTTATTGTTTTTTCATTCAATGCTTTGAGGATCGAGTCATGAACTGGAGCTCTTGTATATCGTAAATCTCCAACGAGAAGTTTCTAAGCATCTGAGTTGTTTCCGTTGCAGTAGTGGTGGCGGAGGAACTCGAACTCGGTGCCAAAATTGACTCGGTTTTATCCGTCTTGGAAACTGGAGCCGCCCAGCTCGTGACAGCTACATTACTTTGAAGTTGACTCGGCGTTGTTGTTGTTGCACCGTGTTGCATGAACGAGACAAACGACGATATAGGCCGAGCCGAAATGTTAATTAACGGTGTAGCGCTGGCCGGAAATGTGAATATATGAGTCTGAGTAGATGGTCCGGCCATGGATGCCATAGGAGTTACCATGAAGAACAGCTTGTCGCTGTTGCTGTTGTTGTTGAGAAGTGATTACAGGAGCCAAACCAGATGAAACCGAAACGGTGTCGTTGACGTCAACGACGTCTCTATTAGCGGGTCGTTTGTTCTTCTTTTTACTAGGGTCTCCGGGTTCGGGATTAGCGTTCGAGTTCGTTGGGATTTTAAGGGTCCCATTAACCGACATAGCGATGGCGGGAACGGTACCGGTTCCTGTTGCCGCTATTCTCGCCGGCTCGGCGTGCTCTATTAACCAGCGTATAGTTTCTCCATCCGACTTGTGGCCTAATTCTCGCGTCAGCTGAAATATCCGAGCCGCGCAAGTAGCGGGAATTCGGATCCTCCGGCCACGTCCCTCGACTTTCGTGTGACGATCCTTTGTTGACGCTCGTTTAGGTGCGGCGGGCGTTGCCGTTACTGGAGGCACGGGAACAGCTGACGGCACGTGCACCGCCATGGGCGTCAGGCTTACAGCTGTCTCTATATCAGCTATTCTTTGGGATTCCTCGACGCTGCTGCAGCCGCCTCCCCGCCGCCGTTGATGCTGATAACAACCGCTCTGCTATCTCCATCCTCTTCAACCTCATGTTTATGAATTGCAGCCATCGGTTTTTATTTTAAGAAGCACGGAGCACGTAAAAAGATAAAACCAAGAAGATAGAAACTGAAAAGGAAGAAAAAAGCTGAGTTTTACAAAGAGGATGAAAAGGGTAAACTACACTCAAGTCACTCACTTATTAATTTGGTTACAATTACAAACGGTCGTGCTTTTCTAAAAATCATGATTTAATAATTTAATTATAATTGAATCATTAGATTATTTTTTATTGAAATTTAATTATAATTATTAATTACAAACGGTGGTATTATATTTTTACTCAATGGGAAATATTCGTAAGAAAATTGATAAAATCTTTGCTATCAAATTTTATTTTTTATTATACAGTTAAAAGTAGCATTTTTATTGAAGTTAAAGAAATACCTTCTTTCACGTTTTATTACTGCTTTCAAAACATAGAATATATGTTGTATCGACTATCAATTAATCTCATATTCGGATTATACATTTTATTATGCAAATACTTTGAAAGACTACGAACTGAACTTCATAAACGATATACTTAGTTAAGACAGTATTTGTTTAGTTCATAATAACACCGAGTTTTAATCTAAAGTCTTTGGCTTTTCTTCTTCTTCTTTAAATATTTTGATGAAAATCCGTCGACGGTGATCTACCGATAGGGTTGATCTCACTGGGTGATGACACGTGGTGGTCCCATGCCCACTGGATTGTTAGATTTCTTTTAGAAGAGAATTATTAAATTATCTTACCGTCGAAGGTCAAAGGTGGCGATGAATATCCAAAGTGTAAATTCTTTGGGTCTTCTTATTTATTTACTTTACACTTTGACTTAATCTAAAAATAATTGTCTAAATTTTACCTAAAAAAATAATTTAGTGTATAAAGAATTTTTCGTTAATATTTTTTCAATTTACACCTTTATATTTTTATTTTAAATAATAAAAATATTATTTTTAATAAAAAATGAAAAAAAACTAAAAAAAAACTTAATTTATTTACAAATAACTCCAAACTTTTAATGAAAATTTTAAAAAACTCAAAAAAAACTAAAAATCTCATTTCAACCCTGTTATCATGGTGGAACGCTGTAGGAGCACCGACGTAGCGACAGCGATGATGGGTTTTGAGCGTAATTGGACGATGGTTCGAATAATGGTGACGGCATGGCATATGGACGTCGGGATCGGTCGAAATTGATGAAAAACAACGAGGGTGCTTAAAATTCGATGAACATTCGAATGCTTCTCCAAGGTAAATGGTGGCAACTTACAACGAAAGGCCAACGGAGGTTTGATCAAGAGTTGACGCTGGTTCTAACGACGGTGGTCATGTATAAGGAAAGACATCGTGAAATACCAGACGAATTAGAAGAAATTTGACTACTCATTGATCAAAAAGTCGATACACAAGTATGTATTTAAATTTTGTTATTTATATTTAATTATCTTTATATAATTAAAATATTTTTTTGAAAATAATTATATATTTGTTGTAGTGTCAATGACGAAATAAGGAATTGTATCCTACCTAATATGAGTGACCCACTAGATGTATGGATGGCGCTAATCCCTCTGATATGTTATGTTATTGTCGAGTGGCATCCGACTGATCGCGTGCTTCGGCGATCTGGTTTCGTACAATCTATTCCATAAGCACATGTGAATCTCGACAATTTGCATAACATCGATAGACGAGGGAAAAAAGTCAATTGGATTATGAAACACAACGAATGGGTGATGATGTGGGAGGTTCGATGTGGACGCATTCCCCATAGGGAGGCGATTTATGTGGACCAATATTCGGTTGCGGATGACTACTACCAGTTGATCAACACAAACGATAAGTAGTTCCTGCTTTCCGAGGAAGCACGAGCCCATAGCATTCATCGATGTCGAGAAAGACGTCCATTGTCACAGCCGCATCGTCCCTCGACTAGTGGATGGAAAGCATGCACTTCTGGTTTGTCTTCAGTTGCAGCACCAGAACCATCACAGCAGCCACCGTCTACACTAGGTTACATTCTGTAGTTGTTCCAGATGGGGATGCAACCATTTCAGATGGCTCCACTGGTGTTTCAGAGGCCACCACCTCTATTTCGGATACCACCACAGTAGGTTCTGATTCCATCACCATAGGTTTTTATGACCCCTCAAGGCGGATATTCCAGTTCCATGCTTGTAGATCTAGCATGAGCTTCATATGTATCATATTTGGCGGGTGATGTGCCACCACAGACTCATACACCTCTGACCCAATTCTTGTATTCATCGATGTCTATGTTTTCACTATTTTCTATGAGTAGTGGGATGGTTAGTCATACACCTCCAGAATCCTTATTCTATGGAGGTGGTACATCGTCATCCATCCCTGATCAAGAAAATGTATATGCTACTGATGATGATGATGATGATGATGAGAGTGAGGAGGAAGAACAACTTATACGAAGAAACCCTCATCGAAATAGACAGCCACCGCCTTGTGGAACACATTCGAGACGCAGACATCGATAGACTTGTTTAGTTTGTAATGTTTTTGTTGTATTAATATTTTGATATAACATTAAATTGCAAAATTATTTTTGGACTTAATTGAATTTGTCAAAAAATTATAAAAAATAATTCAAAGTCCAAATGAACTTGAAAAATATATTTTAAATGTTTTCTGATTTAGTGTTTCATCCTAGTTGACCAACTGGTTGTTGCTATTGGACTATTAAACTATTAATATCCAAATGAGTGTTATTTTTGTGCTGACATATATGCCAAAATCTATTCACATTTTTTCTTTTCTTTTCAATCTCTTCATTTTCTTTATTAAACTTAAGATTTCTTTTCATTTTCAATTGAAAATCTTTTTTCTTTTTTTTTCAATTACTTCAAATATTAATGAGTTTGTCTCATATATTTTATCACTCTTTCAGCTTAATTTTTTTAAAACTTACAAAATTGAATATAAAAAAATTGTCATTATTGATGCTTGAGGATTGTCGAATTTGAGAGGTTTTATGTGTTCATCCAAAAATTCAAACGGTACAAAATATTCTTTCTAGAAAATTAAACAATGTACCTTGAAATTAATCTCTTCGAACAATCGTTAGGAAATTAAAATTAATCTAGTATTATAAGAAAATGATTTTTATCGATTTTGAATAGAATGCATTAAAAATAAGTAAAGTAAATATGATAATTGTTGTAACATATGATAGTTGTCACATAAAATAGTGATTAAGAGCTAATGACGATCACTTGAGAATGAAGATCGAGATGGTATATAGTGTTTTTTATTTCGGCAAACAAGGTTAATATTATGATTATATCATCATACTGTTAATGATTTAACAGTTTATTGATAAAAACTATTTAAATAACAATTAAAACTTTTTATAGGTCGATGACAAAAACAAAACAAACATTAAAATTTAGCGACTAATGGTGTGCTTTATCTTTTTCATTGATTATATCAGGAACTAAAACTCATCACCCCGACAAATTCTTCTTACAATAAATTTAATGATATGAGATCACTTTTAATTTGAATTTTTTCCCATTTTCAAATATTATTTCTTTCTCCAACACAGCAGAGCATCATAGATATTAAAAAAAAACAGCATTCGAAAATAGTAGAAATCTTTAAGACGTAAAAAATCTCCAGCATCAGTAATATGTTTTTTTTTTCTTTCACAACATTATAACCCAATCCAAAATTGTTGCATGAAAATCCAACCTATATAATAGGTATCATATCATCCGTGTCAAACAGGGGCAACCAAAATGCAGCAACTGCTTCAGGGCTGAAACAATATAATGATCCGTAGCAGCGCAAAGAATGAATTTAATTTGAAGCTACTTAAAGCCAGAGAGAGAGACTTGTACAATCATCTACACGTTGTGATTGGTCGAGCCTAGTAATTTTTCCTCCTCTCTTGGGATGTCGGTCATCGGAATCTGAAAGCCAGACTTGGTAATTTTGTTCCATTCATTTTCTACTCGAAAGAATATCCATTGGAACCTTCTTAGCATCTCTAACGCGGTGATCATAAACACAGTCAAGTAGTTGTGGCGGAGATGAGCGGACAGTTTGTACGTCCACGTGCATCGCAAAACCAAGTTGCTTCCAATAACCCAAAAATAAACCTACGAAGAAGGCAACCATGCATGTGAAATACCTAACGATGTGCCATTACGTGTCTTGTGGAATGAAATTGCATGAATAATTATCAGCATTAAGATTCTTACCCATCCTCGCCCGTATAACAAATTGGAACACAAACTTGGTTTGTTGAACTTGAAGATCCTAGTGAAGACACTGCCGTAAATACAGAATTTAAAATGAACTTAATTCGGCGAAAGGAATGCCAAAGTGGCCTCGCAATCAAATAATATATATATATATATAAAAAAACTGTTTGGAAAGGGGATATATAATCATACCTAAGGTCCCAATCGCGGGTTATGTCCCAATAAAATGAGTAGAGCGAGTTAACAAGACTTGAGAAAAGCCAGAGACGACGATAAACATAAGTCCAACTATCAGGTGAGACATGATATTTAAGGGCTGATAGAAAAATCACAGGGACTGCTGTTGAATATTTTAAAGCTGAAAACCACATGTAAATTGGGTTAGAGTAAAGAAGACAAACAAAAACAGAATGACGATAAAACAGGTGTAAATAGTCGCATATAGCCCATATGAAAACAAGTAATAGAAATCAACAACAAAGCTTGATGATGTGCTGTCCAATGGGGTGTTCAGAACCGGGTACCCGAAATACCAGGTACTAAAATGCCGCCCCGTGTCCCGGTTCATAATTTTTTTTTTTCTTTAAATTATATTTTTTTTAAAATATATATATATAGATATAAAAAATTCTAAAATTTAAAGTTCTATAATATATAATTCACACATAAAATTCAAAAATTCAAATTACATAATTGAAAAAAAATATTAAATAATAAAATAAAAAAATAGGATTAAATTTCAAGTGTTTCGAAGTTAAAATAAATATTTTAAAAAAAATTAGAATGTTGATGTGAAATAATTTAAGAAATTAAAAATTTCAAATGTTATGGTAGCAAAATTTAAGAAATTAGGAATTTAGAATGTTAGAGTGAAATAATTTGAAAATTATAAATAAACATTTAATATATATATATATATATATATATATAAAATAAACCGGGTACCGGGTCGGCGGGTACCCGGTTAAGTAACATTTTGTGACCCGAGCCCAACCCAGAAAATCGGATATTTTCAAAATAAATACCCGGTATTTTTTAGCTGGGTCAGCGGGGTAGTCGGGTCGGATATTTTTGAGCAACCCTACTGTCCATAGAGTTTAGGAAATTTCTTAAGGCAAAACATTGTACACTTCACCCGTTCATTGATACATATCCATTCTGACCAGATGTAAATTTTAATATGAAAATAGTAGGTAATCAAGGTCCTAGATGTATTACCATTTAGAAGGGTTGGCTTCTCTTTTGTATCTTTGTACTGCCGCAAACATTGCAGTAGCCGCCAAATATATGGAATAACAAGTACTAGTGGAATTGCAACTGAGTGGCTGCCGCAAACTGAGTCTGCTTCAAACCATGCGATTGTTGCAACCTACGACAAGAGAAACCTCATCTTATTCATCTGAGGAGATCAACATTGCGTCAACAAAAAGAGCTTCAACAGTTCCATGTTGATCGAATCCAAATTAAGCAATAATATATTTAGTACTAAATATGAGAGACTAAGTATACCTTTGTTGTTTCTTTACATCATCGCTAAATAGATAAAGTGGTTGGCCAAAAACCACAAGCCTTGGTTTAATTAGAATCTAATACAAGCAATTCAAAAAAAAAAAAAACTGTATCGTAAAGCATTACACGCACAATATTATGCCTCAAGTTCAATGAGTTTTAATTGCATCGAAAGCCAGAAGCAAGAGTAATCAGATCCTCATCAAGCCTTTCATTATGATCATTTTCCTCCATGTTTGGAAAGGATCTACCATCAACTTATTTTTCTTAGAATCACAGGCATGCATAATGAAGTAGGCAATGCAACTCACAGATCTTAATAATTATAAATTGCTGTGCTGTTTGGAAGAATATTGAAGGTCTCATTGACAGCCAATTTGGAAAAAAAACCACCAAGAACTAAATTTGAGAACGCTCTTAGCCTTTTATAAATACCTGGCGATGAACCATTCGACAGACTGAACGCTCCAAATCTGAAAATACCTTCACAAAATAAAGATTACAAGCAATTAGGGGGGAAACCCAGCACCTCTTACAAATCAAATCCTAATTTAATGACCTTAAGAGTATGTCCAGTAATATTTATCCTATGACATGCATCTAAACAACAGGAGGCTGAAACTTTCTTCATAAGAGTATCAAAGTACAAGAGTATTTTCATGAATTGCTCCTTTAATTGATACAATCTAATCGTTAGGAGAAACAAAATAAGCTGCTTGCTTAAGGATATGAAATGATATTACAGGTTCATACCTTGGCCATGGAGGTAAAAATGTCTGCCAAGAAGAAGTCAGGAAATGAAATAGGCTGTTACACAAGAATTAAACAAGTAAAAAAATGCAAATGCATGTCAGCCACTGCGAACCTCGAGTAAGTTCCACTAAAAAGAAAAAATCCAGAGTAAAGCGAAAATACTCCCGGTATGAGGAAATGCTAATTGGCAAATGCAGCTTGCCAGCTCAAGCACAAAGAAAAAGAAAGCTACACTAGAAACTAGCCTGAAGTGGGAAAGCAATCCGCCAGAGTGTTCTTAGGAAGAAGTAACGAGATGAAAAATAGAAAATGTCGAAGGGGAATATCAAAACCAAGGCAACAGCAACATAGAGCATCACCTGCAGGTTGTATTTCAAATGTCAGAACCATCAATGTGTCATATTACTGACGGCATTGGAAACTTGGCAATCCTACAAAATCCAATCTACAAAACTAAAAGAGAGGACTACACACAGTCACCTAAACATTTGCATTCATACTCGTACATACAGAATCATTAAAGTGACAAGTGATAATTAAGTAGCAAGGCCATAATTGATAAATCTAATGGTTGAAAACATGTGAAAGGTTACTTTCTTGCATATATGCAGTTAAATTATAGAAACAGAAGATAAGATAATGCTGGGAAACAAGGTAGATATTACACTGGTTGCGATGCTGCCAATGCTACTTCTCCGTGGGAGTAAAGATAAAGGTAAGCTGTCATGCTAGTTGGCACTATAACTGTCATCCATATGCTACACTGCATGTAGCAAAACAGAAAAAAGACATTACAATAGGAATTCATATTCTTTCTCTTAGTGGAACCACAATCTCAGGACCAAATTCTCAATAAAGTATGTGAAGTGCAACGATCCAAATAACATGAAGAGAACATTTAAAACAAGTACCTTCCATATTTCTCTGTGAGTAAGGTGGTTTAGATCAAGATCAAATATTTTTGCATAAATAATAGTGCTCTGAGAAAAGACCCATAAACACACTCCCCACAGCCAAACCATCATTGTCTACAAATTGCAAGAGCTAGAAGTAAGATTCGATGGACATCTAATATCAAATATCAATCTGTAATCGTACTCAAAGATATGTTAACTAACCACAAGAAGGAGAGGGTTATAATATAAGAATGCCTCGTACAAGAACAAGTCTCTTAAGTCTACACTCATTCTCATGACCGAATCCCATCCAATCTGTTTCAGAAAAAGAAATCAAACATTCTCGAGATCAATTCTCACAAGAATCAAATGCATTCTAGCTAACTGTACAAATACTGACCTTGCAACAAGTGAAGGCCCAGATTAGAAACCATAGGACCTTAAATCTCCATAGAAAGGTAGGAGAAGGCATTATAGCTGCGGTGTGCATAGGTGAACTGGAAACCTTCATTTCTCCAACCACGAAAGGGAACACGTAACCTTCTTGAACACTATTTCCAGGTTCACCAGCCCCTAAATAACAAGTAAATAAGTAAACAAAACTATTCGCACTTTTTTAGATAAATTTAAATCGAAGGTCAATCAATTATCGAAACAGATAAAAGAAATCACCTAGGTCAGAAGAAACAGATTTGGCGCCAGGTTTCCGAAGATGAGGACTGTGAGAAGAACCAATTACCGACGGATTTTCAAACATGAGCTCGTCAGGATTTCTTTTACTCGATCTTAATTAAAATTACATCCTGCAACAGTCGAATTCCAGTTTCATTTCCTCGGCCAATAACAACAAAGCAAAATCATCCTAAAATTAAAACCGGCATAAAAATTCATAATTAATTATCCTAAAATTAGCAATAACATCAAGTAATGAAAAATGATCAGATCCGAAATGATAATGAAACGGAAAAGATTACCGGATTGGGATAGGAAACGACGTCGTCGGATGGCGATGCTGGCAGATCTGGAAAGAGAGTGAAATAGATTAATGGATTTTAAACTGAGAGAGAGAGAGAGGTGAATTTCAGCTCAGTTCGTCGTCATCGTCAGCTACGTTCCCTCTCTTTTCTCCTTTTCTTTAGAGAAGGCTATAATAACCCCAGCAGTGTGTATTGTAATAGGCAAGGCCACGCGAAACGGGCGAATGGGCGGTGGGCTAATTTGCTAACTGGGCCAGCGCGCGTGATGGGCGGGGGAGTATGTACTATGTTTGTGAATGATACCGCTACTTTACCCGCTCAATACAAACGCTTCCAATGCTTTTATGTCGCGGAACATGTAAATAGTAGGGATAAATTAATGAAGTCGTAGACTTCGGAGGTGCGAAACTGTAAATATGATTTTCATCGTTTAATGATTAATAGTGTATTATTATAACAGAGCATACAAACTCTTGACCAAATATAGGGTCCATTTATTTCACTGTAACTGATTTTTTTTTAAAATAAATACTGAAAAATAAATTATAATTTCTAAAAAATAAATTTTGGAAAGTATTTTTAAGTGTTTAAATGGTGTTACGTAATTCATATTCCGCAGTTTGATAATTTTATTGAAAATATTTTCTAAAATTTACTTTTTGCAAAATAAACACATATTGTAATTTTTCTTTTATTTTTTATTGTTAATTCTATTATTATAATATTTTTTTGAAAACTTTTATATGTATATATATATTATAATATTTTATTTTTATATCTACAACAAATTAGAATTTAATGTCACTCTTTTTTATATAAATAATATGACTCTTAACCTGTAACTAACAAAAAAAACTTTAGATGTTTTCTTTCTCCTCCTCTCTCTCCTTTTTTTTTTCTTTTTTACAACTTGTGTCAATTTTATTGATCAATTCAATTTTTTCTTCTTTAATTTTGTTTAACCGACGACAACACCAGTTTTAATGTTAGTTATCGCCGTCCATTTTTTTTAATAAGAATAATTATGTTTGTTCTCTACCTTTATGGCACATTTATCTCTGCCTTTGTGGCACGTTTTTTCTCTGTCTTTTTGGTAGCTTACGGTTTTTTGCCCTTTTTTCAATTTATCTTTTTTCACAAGGTTGGATTTGACATCGCCATGACTGATCAAGATGGCGTTTATTTGTTATCTTGCTGATCTTCCCTGCTTTGGACCCTCGAATTGATTTGGATACGCATTTTACGCTCGTTGATAGTTTTCTCATGTCGCTTGACTCTGATTTGCGATTTGTCGGTGGTCTTTCAGTAGTTTTATCTCCTTTTGTGGTTCATTTGCTGATACAGTCAGATTTGTTTGTATCTTTATTTTATTTGAGCATTGGTTAGGTTTTTTAACCTTTTCCTTTTATGGTCCTTGTGTGATCTAGGTGGCTAGTTTTTGTATTAACGGTTATAGGAAAATGTCCTAATTTTAATTTTTGTTTACGATTACGGTTATGCTCATAAATCCTCATTGTAATTATGGATATTTTCTATTTTCAATAAACTAGCGATTTCTATAAAAAAAATCAATAATATGAATAATTTTTGTCAATTGTATAATAAATACATTGTTTTGGATTTGAAAGCCTCCATGACTCTTATTCAATGATATTTTAACTTATAATTAATTTTTTATACTTGACATTGAAAAGGAACAAATGTTGATATTAATTAGTACTATGTAACATGAAACAATATCATTCTTATTTGCTGCTCCATAATATATACTACTATAATTTCACTCCATAATTTGCTGCCATGCAAGCTGTTGGGAATGGTTATCACTGGCGTGTTGGTCAAAATAGTGCAACTCGGATGTTCGTGGATAGGTAGGGTGCTTCTAATACCGTTCGGCTTCAGTCAACTTATATTGGCAGTGTCGTTGAGCCGATTCAATGTGGCGAGATTATGATCCCAAATGAGACTCGGTGGAATATACCGTTGGTTTCGGCAGTTTTCAGTTCCATGGATTGCAAACATTCTTGCGTGCCCAATTACCCCAACCATGAATGACGAGCTGATATGGTCCGCTCATTCCACGGGGGTTTACTCAGTCAGATCAGGCTACTTCTATCTGTTTCGCACTCATCAGGTATCGGTTGTTCAATCCTCTCTTTGGCTTTGTTTATCACGTTTGGCAGTACCCCACGAAGATTCGACTGTTTGGTTGGCGATTGGTACATGAAGCTCTTCCAGTTTGTAGACGTTTACAGATGGTTGGTTTATCGGATGGTCTTTGTCCGATGTGTGAAGATCAGACTGAAACTTGCCTGCATGCTCTCTGGGGTTGTCCTGACGCTTTGAATATTCTCAGGTCTGCTGGTTTTGTCGGTTCTATGTTAGCAACCATGGCCTCTTCCTGTGGAGATTGGTTGGAATATTTACAATCGGTGCTCTGCCTCCTGATAGGTTCCGATTCTTACTTGTTCTGTTGTATTTTGGGTGGCAATGTCGTAATGAATTTGTGATGGCGGTGGCAGGTCGTTTAACGCGAATTTGGCATGTGGTTAGTTCCAGCAAAGCCTTCCTTTCATATATCCTTTGATGCTGCTGTCGGTCTCTGAAGCTTGGTCTGATGTCTGGTGTAAACCCCCGGGCTTAGTCATTAAAATAAACGTTGATGAAGAAAGATGGTGAATACAATCTTAGAAAACTAGAAAGAAGCAAAGACAAAGCATTTGAAACACAAGATAAATCCATCCCTTCATTCTGACGAGTGAGAGGCTATGAATACAAGAGAGAGAGAGTGGGAGTTGTAACTACTCTAACAACTTAACGACTCTCAACAACCCATGCAGACTACCGCTCAAGATAGTGGGCTGCTTACATCATTCCATGCACAAACACAATACTCTAACAGTTGATGCTGCTTGTTCTCGTCTAGATAGAAGATCGGCGATTGGAGTGGTGGCCCGTGATGAGTATGGGATAGTTTGGCGTGCCAGGCAATTCTGTTGCTTGGTTGTAGTGATGTTGGAATTGCCGAGGCTAAAGCGATAACATATGGGCTTCATTTGGGGATGGAGTTAAATCTTCCCGCGACACGATTCATGAATAGTTCATTGAACTTAACGACAGAGAAGCGAAAACGACACATTGAGCTGATTCAAGAGGGAGCGTGAGACCCAATCCAATCCGCCTGCTGCCTTCTAAAAGATCGAATTTTTAATTTAAAAAAATTTGTGGATTTCGAGGTGAAATCATCAAGTACCTCTCTCTTTCTCTCTTCTCATCTCCTTGTATGTGGCTACTTATCCCATTCACCAGGCCCATACTTTTTTTTTTCCGGTTTGCTCGTATCGTTTTATGGATGTAAGAAGAAAAATCTTTGCTTTTTTTTTTTTATCTTGACTGTATGTTGCAGCTGTTGTTCTTATGGCTCCAGTTATCCTTGTGTATGTTAAATATTTGTCTTTGGGTACTTCTTTGAAATTTAGTTCATGTTGTTCATAAGATTCTAATTGTGTTTTCCAATTTGGGTGATCTGGGTTTTGACGATTTGATTAAGTTTTGAATTTATACTCTTTTTCTTTCCTTTTTGTTGATAGGAAATCGGGTAACTGGAAATTAAATTCTTTCATCTTGTTTATTCATAAATTAAGCTAACTGTTGGGTACTGGACTTAGCTAATTATGATTTTGTTGATTATTTTATCTTCCTTGTATGTTCTTTTTCAAGCCATAGACTTCAGACGACTGATTCCACGAGATAATGTTCTCGATTTTTTTTTTCACGAGATAATGCTTTGGACATATTATTTGCTGAGATAGGGTTAATTGTACAGTGACCAAAGAGGTCGCCATGCACGCCCAACGACCAAAGAGGTCGCCATGCACTCGGGGCGACCAAGGATCGGTTCATGCATGAGGCACTCGAGGCGACCAAGGATAACCAAGGATCGGTTCATACATAGGGCACTCGGGGCGACCAAGGATCGGTTCATGCATGAGGAGATTGGGGAGATCGTGCATGTGTAGGTCGCCATGGAGTCCCGGCGACCAAGCTGTGGGTCCTTCACGCCCAAACTTTAACCCTATCCCTCATCATACATCCATAGCTGGAAACTTTAACCCTATCCCTCATCATGCATCCATAGTTGGGAGATTCCTGCATCGCGACCAAGCTTTAACCATATCACTCATGCATGTGTTGCATCCATAGCTAGCTGGGAGATTCATGCATCCGTAGCTACATGATTGCAACGTTAATTTAGCTGTTAAATGCAGCAAATATTGTTGTTCAATTGAAGACTTTCAATGCTCAATAGTTATATGATTCAATCCTAATATTATTTTCTTCAATAGTCAAATTTTAATGACTTTGTACAACGATTTTTTGCTTTATATAAATGATATGGGGTTAGGGTAGAAACAGAAGCAGAACCAGGAGCATAAGCATAAGCACATATAAACTTTGCTGAGAGAAAGAAAAGGAAGAAGAAGAAAATAAGATAAAGGATCAAACATAGTTCGTGAGGTAATTTTTTATTGTTTAATTTAGTTTATTATATGAATTATTAGTTTGTTAGTTTAGGGTTTAGGGTAAAACTAAAATCTAGTTAATTAGTTTGTTAGTATAAATTATTAGTTTGTTAGTTTAAGTTATATATTATATTATATAAAAAATTAGTTAATTAGTTAATTAGTTTAAGTTATTAAATATAAAAAAATATTAATTAATTTGTTAGTGTCTTTAATCGTATATTAGATTGTTCATTGAAGTTGAAGTTATATTATAAAAAAATTAATTAGTGCTTAATTAGTGTGTTATTTTAACTAAGTTATATTATAATAAAGAAATACTTTATTAGTTTAAGTTATATTATAATATATTAGATTATATAAAATTAATTTGTGGGAGCTATTGCTGTTTAAATAAATTAAACGGTTTACACATACAGGGTCATTATTCCACAACATTTGCCCATGTTCAAATTGATTCGAAGAAAGAAACAAAGAAGGAAAAGAAAGGAAAGGAGGAAGACATAAATACGTGAGTAATTTATTATTTTTGTTGTCCATTTTTTGTTGTTGTGTATGTGTAAATTAGTTAGTTAGTAAGTTTATATTAGATTATATAAATTAATTTGTGCAAGATAATTTTTATTTA